CCCCACCTGCCGCCGGCCTGTCACTGTCCTGCCTCGTGTTGGTTAACACCCCGCCATCCCCCCGGCTCTTCAGCTCAGAAGCCTCCGTCCCTTCCTTCTCCCCCACGCCCACCCCCAGGCAGCCCCCTGTTCTGTTGCCTTTGCACCTCCCCCTGACCCTCCTGTCCTCTCCCCGGACACACTCTCAGAGCTTTCATTATCTCTTCCTGGGATACCGCAGCAGCCTCCGGGTCAGGCTCCCTGTCTCACCCTCTCCCCTCCCCAGGCTGCCTTCTGTGTGGCTGCTGGTGGGAGTCACCTCTAACAGGTGAGGTTCCCAGGATGGCTGCGCCCCCTCTCCACCCCGCTTCCCCCGTCCCGACCCCACCATGTACCCCGTGCACCTGCTGCCCCAGATCTGCCACCGCTCCCCTCTCCAAGACACCCTCTCTCTTTACCAAACTCCTTTTCTTCCTCCAAGGCCGGGCTCACTTGTCACCTCCTCCCCGAAGCCTGTTCCGACACCCGCAGGCTCTGTCCGTGGTTTCTCTCGCTCCATTCCCAGAGACTCACTTGCGTCTCTATTGTAGCTCTTAACTCGCACCCGAATAACCCGGTTCCCTAACTGGCTTTCTAACTAGACTGCGTTCTTAGAGGACAGAGATAATGACGCGCTCATCTTGTGTCCCCTGCCCCCCACACTGCCCCTGGCACATAGTAGGCGCTCAATACATGTTTGCTGAGTTAACATAGTTGTAAAAATCTGAAAAGATCAAGGCAGGAAGCCTAATTAAGAGTGATCCTTAACCTTTCTTAAAGGTTAAAATTTACCCATTTTCATCTTTCTACCAAACTGGAGACACTCAGAGTCCTTAATAAGTGGGCTGCGATTCCCACTGCCGTCTCTGAAGAGTTGGGGAGCCAGCCTCTTGCCCCGCCGTCCTCCCAGAGGAAAGCAGGATGCGGGGAATGAATGACGTTTGGAAAAGAGCTAAGACCATCCTGCTTCTGCAAAACCGTTCTGTGTGCCTGCCACATCGTTAAATATTTATTGAGTGCCTACCATGTGCAAAGCAAATGACATCTTCAGTAGCTTCCTCTATGAATCATCTAATCAGGTGTGAAGTCACCTAGAGTGAGAGTGTTTTTCATTAAAGCTGGTAGAGATCACGGTGCTTTGTAGCAGTTAACATTAGTAAGACACATCTTTTCCTGGGGAGAAGTGTGAAACATCTTTACAATTTTCTAGTACAGGACATAATTGAGTCACAGTGAAAAGTACGGATTTAAGCCTAGGTTTCTATTCTTGAACAGAGTGGTGTGTTTTAGTAGTAGTTTTTGCAGACAGGGATGGGTTGGGCAGTGGCTAAGTCACCTCACATGTCCAAGGTGGCTGCCCGAGCACAGAGCCCGTGTCACGGTCTCACTTCTTTAGTTGCAGGCGTGCTGTCACGCTGGCACAGCTGTGACCCCAACGCCCCCAGCCTTGAGGCTTTTGTCTTATTTTGCTTTACTGTTTCTTTTTTTCCTTATAGATCACAGGAGTCCTTTAGATAGCCAAGCAAGGGGCCTTTTTGCTTGCTTTCCACGCAACTTCACGTTGGCTCTTCCTTTTTGTCTCCTTTGCTGGCTCAGTTTTAGGTGTTGCCAGTCACTGAGTTATCACACACAACCATTAGGCTTACTTTTGGTCAGTGCAGCCTTTAATTAAGGAAGTGCTGTCAATATGAAGGTGACATCATTAGTACTCAAAGTCCTAATCAAGTAGTTAGTAAAGCAGTAGGCAAACGGGAAGCCGTTTTTCCCATTTTAAAAGGGAGAAAGTTAAGGCTTTCTTATTTTTTGTAGTAACACTTTTGTTGGCTCTTGAAATGAAATCCTGCTGACTTGTGGTCTATTGCGTTTTCTAACTCTCTTTTTTTAAGTCCTCCTCTTAAAAAGAAAATCTGTCAGAGACCATGTGTAACATATACTTAAATCCTTTAGTATTTTAAGTGAAACTGGATTTTAACAGTTAGGCAAATGAAATAATTTTCTATATACTTCTTACAGGAAGCTATTGAATCCTTCAAAGAAGCTTTGAAGCAGAAAGTCGATTTTATTGATGCGTATAAAAGTCTGGGGCAGGCCTACAGGTGGGTAAAGCAATAACTGTTGGGGCGGGAAGAGGAGAGAGTCTCACGTAATAGTGGGATTTAAAAAGAAACTCAGGGGCTGGCCTGTGGCTCACCTGGGAGAGTGTGGTGCTGACAACACCAAGTCAAGGGTTAAGAGTCCCTTACCAGTCATCTTCTTAAAAGAAAAAAAGTAAATAAATAAAAAGAAACTGCTTTTCTTAACCAAAAGAGATGGTTATTTTAAATTGCATAGGCACGTCCATCCCTGATGTCCTCTCTGGAGTGTAGAAAGATCCATGTGTCAGGGATGTCACCATGCACGGTCTCCTCTCTTAACTTCAGTGTCTAGAAGATGGGAATCCTTCCAGGGCTATTGCTTTGCATTGTGGCCTTAGAAGCCACCGGGTTTTAGCTGCTGCGGCTGCTGCTTGCTTAGGCAGTGACTAAGGTTGAGCCTCACGTCGCTGTGGTCTGTTTGAAGAATCCTAGAATAAAGGGGTGGACAAGTTATGATAACAGATCTTGTCAGCAGCAGGAGGTCATGGCTTGCGCCCGTTTCCCTGGCTCCTCCTTTGCTGACCAGTAGAGCTATTCTGACTTTGGGCTTCAAAAAAAAAAAATTCAGAGGATGTGATAGTTTGAGAAGCTCTCTTACAATTAACTTGGAGAAAGTGTGTCTGGACTTGTTTTGGGTTTAAGGGATGATACTTATCCTTCCAGTCCATTAGAATTGCTGGGAATATAAATTGAAAATGGATTTCAGAGTGCCTTGTAAAGTGCCATGTAAATATAAGCAGGCACTATATTTTTTTAAATATTCGCTATTTGTAGGAAATGGATATATAGAGTGTTTTGAAGTTACTTTTGTTCTATGCAAAATTTTTAATAAATAAAAGAAGATTGATTAGTAACAACCATTTCCATTCTGGAAGGATCGCAATCCTAAAATATACCTATGTTTTCAGAATTTTAAATTACATTGTGACTTACTAGATTTTAAGTGAGGTAACTTCAGTGACCAAAAAGAATACAATTTTAAGCTTGTGAGTTTGATTCAGAATGATAAACCTGTGTACGATTATAATCTGTGTACTTTTTTCCAAAGGGGAAAAGTGTCCTTTTATCCATATGCTAAAATGGACACACAGTTTTCCAGGGGTTGAAGCTCTGAATAAGGGAAGAAGGGTCTGAATAGGCATTTGTCTTTGGGAGTGGATGAATTAATTTCCCCCAGACAGTTTCGAGAGCTCTGTGGTCGTCCTATCTGCTGGTGACATTCAGGAGGAGTTGGTGGATGGGCCGCATCAGAGGCCATGGAGTGAAGTGGCAAATGACAGAGGAAGTTCCCCCGTCGAGGTGTCTCGTTCACACACTGGCCGTGATTCTAAGGATAGCTTACTCTGCCCGTTGACTGCAATGTCCATCCTGTGTTCGTAACTGTTATTAAATCCCTAGAGAGCTGGGCAATTTTGAAGCGGCCACCGAGAGCTTTCAGAAGGCACTGCTGCTCAATCAGAACCACGTGCAGACCCTGCAGCTCCGGGGCGTGATGCTCTATCACCACGGCAGCTTGCAGGAAGCGCTGAAGAACTTCAAGGTGAGCCTCTGTGGGCCAGCGGCACTGTCGCTGGAGTCCCCGCGGTGATCTCCAGCAGAGTCTAGTGTTAATATGTCAACAAAAAGAGAGAAAAAACATCACTGTTTGCTGTGCACACTAATGTGCAGAGCATGTATCTGGTCTGATTTAACCTGGAGGGGAAACTTGAGATGCGATTCCAGACGAGAGGATATAAAGCATGTCAAAGCTTTCTCATACCGTGTGGGTGCTAACGCAGCATCTGTCCGTCAATGCCCCAGCGGTGTCTGCAGCTGGAGCCGTACAACGAAGTGTGCCAGTACATGAAGGGACTCAGCCACGTGGCGATGGGCCAGTTTTACGAAGGAATAAAAGCACAGACAAAAGTGATGCTAAACGACCCCCTCCCCGGCCAGAAGGCGAGCCCGGAGTACCTTAAAGTGAAGTACCTTCGAGGTGAGTCAGGAGGTCGCAGAACCTCTGCATTTTCATGCTCCACGCTGTAGAAATCACACTGCGTGACGCTTCTGCGTTCCAGATGAGTCAGATTAGTCAGCGGCATCTCACAGAGGCTGGGTGCCTTGTCCAGGGCCACCCTCGTGAGGGGCGGCGTCGGGACTAGACAGCGTCTGGGTCTTCTGTAGACCCGTCCGATGCCGCTTCTGCCACTTCCCGCAGTTCTTCTTTCTGAAGTTAAAGTCTTGCTTGAGTCATAAGAAACTATCTTGAACTAATGGCGATGCTCCTCCAGGGTGTTCAGTGCAGGACACTGAAGGACATGCAGGCCCCCTCCTGGGAGGTTTTACTGTTGGGCGTGAACTCGGTGCCTTTGACCTATTTTTCCTTAATGTCTGAATTCTCATAAGTTTTGGAGAAATTCAATGGAGGTGAGGAAGAAAGCAGATCTTTCTGTTACCCTTTTATTCGTCATTCTCTTACCTTTTCTCTTCCATACATAAAGATACTTTTGTTTTTGTATCAAGCTCACATATTTCTCCTTTGTTATTGGCTCTTTGTACCATGACCGTCCAACAGAAAAAAATCGAGAGCTATATATATAATGTTTCATTTGTACCAGCCACACTGAAAACGTAAAAAACAGGTGCGGTTAATTTTAGTGATACATTCTGTTTAGTTCAGCATATCCAAAATATTAGTTCAACATATAATTAACATAAAAACACCATTTTTTAGATATTTTACATTATTTTTTGTACTAAGTCTTTGAAATCTGATATATATTTTACACTTATAGTACCTCTCAATTTGAATGCTAAATTTTCATTGGAAACACTTGATCTGATGAATGTAGATTTTATAAAATTTACAGTTGACAAAGTAGATTCATAATACGCAAATTGTTCTAAACGTACGGAAGTTTTCTAATAATTGAATCAAATGTCAGTTTTTAAGTTTAATTGAGATTAAATAAAATTTAAAATTCAGTTTTTCGGTCACTGTAGCTTCATTTTAAGTATTTGGTGGCCAAGTGGCTAGGCGCTGCCTGTTGGATAGCACCGCTCTTTACCCGAAATCATTCCCTCCTTTCCCCAGCTTTAGCAGAACTTACTTGTGAACTGTAGACTGCAGGGGCGGGCACTCTGTGCTGTGGTTTTTCCTATATTTTTTCTTAGGGATAGGTCATCAGTTGGCAAAACCAAATACCCAGTTAATCTATCCATCAGTTGATGGAGTTTCTGGCTCTGTCTGACACTGAACTTGGATTCTCAGACTCTGGAATTGAAAAGAAATGAGATCTTTGGTGTTGTTCAGGGAAGGCAGTTAAAATTTAGCCAGAGTAGACCCAGACTGACTGCCTTACATTGGACCCTGATGACTCAAGTCAGTGGCAGGTTACCCCCTATTATCATCTAATAATGGCAACTTACTGAAATTTAGAGCCTCCTTCTAGCATTCTTGTGGTTAAATCACAGCTTGTTGTAAAGCGTTTGTGTGGCAGCTAGCTATAAACGTGTTTCTTTAGCAGTATTCGGGTGTGTCACGTCTCACTTCCCGTCTGCAGAGTATTCTCGGTATCTCCACGCGCACCTCGACACCCCCCTCACGGAATATAACGTTGACGTGGACCTGCCTGGAAGCTTTAAGGACCACTGGGCTAAAAATCTGCCTTTCCTCATAGACGACTATGAAGAGCAGCCTGGGTTGCAGCCCCACATAAAGTAAGGAGGAGTTTTTTTGGTTTTTTTTTTCTTTTTCTTTTTCAGAACTGAGCTATCAGTTCATCATGATATTTCTTGACCAATAAATTAACCCCCTATAACCAGAATGAAGTGCTGTCTTGGAGCCTGCAGTTCAATTAAGAATAAATGTTTGTTGGACCAAAAAGGGAAAAGAAAAATTTAAAAATAAGAAAAAGAAAGTCAGTTGCTCCAGTGGGGTTGTATGTGTCGCTCCGGTGGGGTTGTATGTGTCGCTCCCGTGGGGTTGTATGTGTCGCTCCCGTGGGGTTGTATGTGTCGCTCCGGTGGGGTTGTACGTGTCGCTCCGGTGGGGTTGTACGTGTCGCTCCGGTGG